TCACACCAACACTGTGCTACCAGTGCAAATCTCTGACCTTATTAAAGGCTAACCTACATATAATTAACACCTATAAAATGAGATGCTGGATAAAAGCCGCCAACATTACCATCCAAGATGAAGTGATTCTATCAGAGAGACTGTGGGAACAACACCATGCACCAAATTTATTGAGAAATAGAAGATCAAATTGTTTGATCATCTGGTTAGATTACAGCCAAACTAACTACAAATTTAGGTTCTACACATTAAAAGATCTGATGTGAAAGCACCTGGCCTTCCTAGTGGCCACTTTCTACATCAACACAGAAGGACAACAGCCATAGCTACCCATCAAACAATGGATTGCAAACTGTTCCTCCCCATGATGCTTTATGCAAAAGAGGAAATCGATGATGATGATAGTTCCAATTTGAGTAACTATCCAAAGTAAACTTAACACAATACTATAAATGTGAAAACTATGCAAATTCATCTACTGTACAATTGAAAAAAGCATAGTGTATAATCATATAATTAAGTATTATAAGTTTGATAAATATATATCAAAACAAGCTAACTTAAAAAAAATCAGGTATGTATTCGACAACAAAAATAAATAAAATGTGCGTTCAGATAACAAGAAATGTAAATAAGAATATAAACAAACATTGAATAAATATGTGACTAAAACATAAAAATACACCAAATGAAAACATGTTTTATTTACAAAATAGTGAGGAAAGAAAAAGGGAGAGGGAGCTAAAAATGAAGTGTAGCGATGCGAATGACCAGACCAAAGACATTGTATAGTTTTATCAGAATTTACAGTTTGGATAGTGTAAAACAAAAAGTAAAGGACCTTTTTCCCACGCCTTTAGGCATATAGGGCTAGACCTATAGTTTTATAGAAAATATTGGCACAAAATGGGTGATGGGGTCTGCATCATGCCGGCCGCCTTTACTTCCCGGGACTGCGCCCGGTACCCACTCAAGGCTGGGTCGACCTGGGAGCCAAGGTCATTTTTGGAAAAGTCCGCCTCCGCCAGGGAGGGGACCCGCGACCTTCTGATCCGTGGCAAGCATCTAGCCGCTCGGCCACGGCGACTCCAAGTGTGGATAGTGAATATTTTATAAATATATTTTTAGATTTATAAAAATTAAAAGATTTCAGCGATAGTTAATCAACAAATACTCTTTATTTAAAAGATGTAACTTCACTTCTAAAGTAAGTTTGCTGGAATATATGTTTTACAGAAGTTTTAGTAGTAACTGAAGTTCTCCATGAAATAATATCTTGTTCAACCCTCGGGTTATAATGGGGATTTATAGAGTCCATAGTATTTTCAATGTATACTTTTGCTTTCTGCAAACATCACATAATTTGTTTCAGTCATTTATTTTATTTATATGGTTTTTATTTATATTATCAATAGTTTTTTGTTATAATAAAATAGCTGCTTTATTCTTTTGTATAAGTGTAAAAATGTTTCTTCTTCTTCTTCTCTTCCACCCTGTACCTCATCGAAATGTTGGGGGGAGATGTAACATTCTGTGATAAGCTCTGTCAAGAGCACTATTAAGACTGATGTTAATTTCTGTAAGGCTGTTCTTAATGCCATCACTCCATATTTTCCGAGGTCTTCCACTCCCTTTATATCCGTTGTAACGTTTTAGTGTGGCTTGCTGTGGCAGATAGTACCAGGGCATTCTTTTTAGGTGTCCAAACCACTTCATTAGTTGTTCTTTGATGACCTGTAAGACTGGCTTTATTCCTAACATTCGTCTAATTTCGTGATTTCATGAAAATGTTACTGTATTGATAAAGATTTTCCTACACAAGCAAGCTTATTTCGAACATGTATTCAGCATTACAATGTGGTCTAAGCTAAAAAATATAATCAGTCTAAAGAAGAAGTATAACTAGTTAGTTTCCCAATGAAATACACTTACAAAAACAAAATGATTGTTGAGGCTAGAAAGCTTTCATCAGCCTACTTCTTCTTCTTCTACTGTGTCACCCATTAAAAGGTGGTTGGGAGATTGTGTTGTGGTTTACAGTTAGGCCACAATCTCTGTGCTTTTCGGATTAAAAAAAAAACCCACAGACAACACAATTAAATAAAAGACTTTATATAATAAACTCAGTCTAAGCTGCGAGATGTTATACTCCACACACACAAAAACAACAACTAATTAACAGAATTGGAAGAGATTTTACATAAAGATGTACAAATAATCAGTTATGCATTTATGATTACATATATACATACATACAGCATAATTCTAGTAACAACAATGAATCTTAAGACATGAAGCATAGCAAATAATTAAAATATTTCAGACAGTGTTGATTTTTTTTTTACATCAGAAAAATGCCGTTTACCATAAGTTAGCAATAATTATTGCCTATTTTTCTAGATTCTCTATCAAAATGGCAAAGCCTGTGAAACAATTCCAATCTGTTTAGTTACTCCTTTTTAAAATCTAATTATTATTTAGCATCTGTCAGTTTTCACAGATTTATATTTAGAAGATTTTTGTCAATGAACTTATCTGCTACTACTATAGCACAATTTTAAAAATCAGAAATATTCCAGCTAATCTAATCTTCACCTCTGGTAACTTGTGGTGTCAAGTATAAATGTGGGAGTCCTCATCTATGTACTTCATATTTGGAGATTTCCATGGATTCTATAATTCCCTCTGTCCAAGGTTTGCATGGTCAGCCTCACATTCAATTCCCGCTTGGTCTGCCCATCACTGCTGGCTGTGGTATATTGTCTTTTGGAAGAAGGGTTAAATGGTTAAACCACTTCACTTGCTGTTTTCTAATGAAAGCTACCACTGCTACCACCGCTACTTTCTTTTAGATTTCATCATTTATGATATTTTTTTATCTCAATATATGTAGTGCTTTTCTTAATAATCTCTTGTCACTTCTTGTAATACTGTCATAAACAGCATATTTAACCCAGCCAGAGTATAATGTAGAATAGGTGTTTCCCCCTTGTATTCAAACTGTCACAATACATGATCTCAAACTATTTACATTTGCCCAGAAGATACTGCATATGTAGCTTCCCCATGGCCCCTTGCACCGTGCGTTACCTGTTTGAAACTCATACACTCAACATTATTCATAACTATTTCTGTCCCTTGGTCATCTGCTGTCAGACAATTCAATAAAGAACAACAAATAAAATGGTTTGGCCACCTGACGAGAATGCCCTGGTACCAGCTGCCACAGAGAGCCACGCTGAAGAAATATAATGAACACAGAGCACGGGGAAGACCCTGCAAGAGTTGGAGTCACACCATCAGAAGCAACCTAACAGAAATAAACACCAGCTCGTACAATGCATTGGAAAAAGCGCACAAAAGATCCTTACATCCCCCATCCCCCCTCCCCCCAACCTTGTTGAGGTGAATGGTGTAAGAGAAGATGAAGAAGAAGGTCATATGTTGACATTCCTGCTGGGATAAAAAGAGCTAAAGTGTGAAAATCTCTAATCCAGAAATGGAAGTGAAGTGAAGTGAAATTCACCACAGCAGTTACTTCAAGAATGAGTTTATGGGCAAATCTAAAATATTTTAATGCCATACAATCGACTGCAGAACTTAATATATCAAGAAGTTATAACACATTTGTATACCTAGGTCAGCTTCTACAGGTCTGCTTCTTACTTCTTGTCTTACTTTATAGCAGAGTGAAGCATGATAGCAGACTGAATGTGTTTGGTTCATGTAATACATTCACCGGTAGAATTAAAAGGAATACAGAATGACTTCACATTTACTTGAATGATCAAGTTAAAAAAGTGAAACAATTAAATTATTCACATTCATTGCACAGAATCATCCTGGTCATGCTCGACAATAATTCTCAACCGGATGACTCCAGATCTGCAATAAAAAAAAAATTTTTTTTTTAATCATATTATAGAATTAATTTTTCTTTAATTAAAATTTAAAATCTGATTCATTCATTTATTCTTAAAAGAACTAGAAAAAAAAAAAAAAAACAACAACAACAACTTAGCTCTAAGAAACAAAATTATAAGCTAAAAACACAAAAGTTATTGAACAACTGAATTTATGTCAATGATACATAAACAAGTAGGATTACAATGGTTAAGGTTAGTTGCGTATCCTTTACAGGACATTGCAGAACCAACCCCAACAGCCCCTGGCTGTTGTGTGGTTTTTCTAGGCAAATTTACGTCCAGTAGTTTGCCATTGCTTTTTGGACGGTCGCCCCCCCCCCCCCCCCTCCCCGATACCACTGTCTAAACCAACGCAAGGTGCATGGCCCGCAGCTGGGATCGAACCCGGCACCCTGGCATTATGAAGCGTTCACATCGACTTAGCCACAGTGCCGACAGTTGCTAGAAGACTGACCCCAAAACAACAATGACATATGTAAAAATCATGAATAAATAATTATGGTAAAAAAATAAACAAGACATAATGTCAAAAATTACCTGAAAATAAATTATGCAGTAATAAATTAAATTTACACTGTGTTAAAATTATATATATCCCCCCCCCCCCTCTCCAAAAAAAGTAATAGGAAGTTATGCAAGAACAAATTAATAAAAATACTGTATCACGTCTAGTTTGAGAATGAGGGTGGAGGCAGTCACTGCTGCCTTCTGCTGGCTTGAGAATCAGCTGTACACACATGTCGTCATTGTAACTGACTCACAGAGCATGCTGAGAAAGGTGGAGACAGGCATGCTCCGTGGAGAGTGGCAAGCATTACTTCAGAGGTCCCGGGTAGTTAGCATCCTTTGGATATTTTCTCCAGATCATGTCGGTGTGTTGGGAACAGTTACTGGTACCATCAGAATTGTAACTCTTCGACTGCTGCTGGAGATGGAGACGGAGCGTTTTTGGGGGTGTCCCGAGTGTTGTGATGTCGATTCTTAATTCAACATTCAACATAAAAAAAAACTGTAAAGAAATAGCGTCGAAGTTAAACAGCAACTGCTTCATTGCTGGGATCCTGTGCTTGAGACCTACCTTTGGATCAAAATCCACAGGACAGCACTGGCCAGTTCTTTCAGCACAATAACAGCCAAGTAGATTACCACCAGCTGACTTGTGTAGTAAATAATGTAACGAAGACTCCCTAGCAGAGCTTCCATATGCCTAGCAGCAAACGGTATTTTATCAGCCGGCATTCTGGGGCGAAGAAAAAAAATAACTGCATAACTATTATTAAACATTCAAATTTTTCTTGTCCTCCACTGATAAAAAAAAAAGTTACATTTAAACTCTTTTTTCATTGTTCCCTGTTGGAACAGAGCCGTGTTAGCGCAGTCAATAGGAGACTTGCTGCAGCCTATGGTCAGTGTTTGAAACTGGGCGGTTCCTGGGGTTCGCCCAACCTCTAGGTAATGGATACCAGAGTTAAGACTCTGGGGTAAATGGAGGAACGTCAATGTAGCTATGTAGTTGCCTGCGGACGGTGACACGGGCAGACAGTTTCTTATCAGCTGTCCGTACTGGTGGCAGAGCATTTATGGTTCATAACCGTGTGCAATGACAATGGTTCACACCCAACTTTAACTTTTTTTTTCGTGGGAACATAATATTATGGAGGAAGAGCCTAAACAATATAAAGTAAAAAAATTAATTTCAAAATCACTTTAAATATACCCAAAGATGGATAGCACTTTACTAATACCACTGTTATTTGACAATTCTTCGTCTTCTGCCCTTTGTTCTCCAATAGAGCATAGGCTGCCAACCATGACAAGCTATCCTATTCTGTAAAATGCAGTTCACCGATGATTTCCCCATACTTCCACTTCACTCTCAAGTTCTCTTCTCCAAGTGTTTTTCAGTCTACCAAGTTCCTTTGACTTTTAGAGTTTCAGTGCAAAGACATTCTAGTAATACTGTTATCAAATTTTCTCACCCTCTATCCTATTCAATGCCAGCATATTTTCCTCACCTCTTGATTAACTGGAATTGTTTAGCTGTCCACCTTTCTCTCCCCCCCCCCCCCCCCCCCACAAAGCTCAACATAAAAAAATTATATCATACCATTTAATTTCTTCTGTTTTGAGCAGGCACAAGTGAATGAAATGTTTGTAGTTTATTCATAATTGTTTCAGCTGTGTTTCCACTCCATACAGAAGTACTTTTTTAATTTTTTTGTTCAAAACAAGCTGACTTTCTCTTTGGTTGTTCTAAATTATGCGAATACTCCCTGCTTCCTGTCTCACAATTAACATTTAGAATACATTTTACCGAAAGCTTATGGTCTTTTTCTGTTGGATATACTTTTTTCAAACACTAATTAAAACTGAGCAGGTCTTATTTTTTAAAGTCAAGAGAGCCTGACTCTGCTCTGCAACACTTTGTTATGTTTTATGGTTGATTTCTTTTTGTTTAGAAGCTAAGCACTTAACATAAGAGAAGGAGAAAGTAAAGATAACACAAATTTTACCTGCTAAATAGTTTTGGGTCAACAGGTTGGAATTTGCAGGCATGTGACACTGCGGCTAGCATGCTCCATGTGGCCTGAGCCTTGCCTTCAGAATGTTGAACTGAATCACTGCAATTTCCAGAGATTCCTATAGTCTTAAGATGTTCACAGTACATCTCCGTGCTCAAGTTCTAGAAAGATACCATTGTAACATTGAGTTTAAGTTAATTAAAACAATATAAAGCAATTAAATTATTGTGCCTATTTGCACACATTCATCTTGATCATTCTCAGCAACAATTCATAGCAGGCTTATTTATCGAGCCTTGAAATTAAAATCAGATGTTTTCTCTAAAATACTAAAGACACTATCAAATGAATTTGTAAGGTAGATCTGGAAACACACAAAGAAGAAGATAATAAGGGAAAGTAGAGAATAATAGGTAAGAACAACTGAAGGAATGTCTGGTGTCATCATCTCATCGGGTGAGAGGCAGGGATCTATCCTCTCAATATTGCTCTTCATTACATACACGGATAGAATTACACAGGAGTCAAATACAGACACTGAAGAAATAAATAAACTTCTTTTTGCAGATGATCAGTGTCTAATACATCACCAAGAACAGAATTTATAACACAATATTGACTCCTCACATCAAATCTGCACAAAGTATGATATGAAAATACACACCGCAAAAACTGAGGTAATGAGAATAGGCAGGAAACATAATAATGTGAACGTTCATATTAAGGGTACTACATTAACAAAAAAAAAATGAGAATTCAAATATCTAGGAAGCATATTTATACAGCAGATGGCAGACTGCATAGAGGGAGAGAAGCCAGAGTACAGAAGACTGCTGTCACTTGCCAGTTAGAAGCAGTGCTTTGACACTCAAATGTCTCCCTTCCAAAAATAATAAAGAAGAAGAAATGAGTATGGGGAAACGTTCACACCATTATGAATGCTTGGAGCCATCTATCAAAACGTTCACACCATTATGAATGCTTGGAGCTATCTATCAAAACGTTCACACCATTATGAATGCTTGGAGCCATCTATCAAAACGTTCACACCATTATGAATGCTTGGAGCCATCTATCAAAACGTTCACACCATTATGAATGCTTGGAGCCATCTATCAAAACGTTCACCCCATTATGAATGCTTGGAGCCATCTACCTTAAATATTGACCTCTTGAGCTTTGAGAGTTAACAAAATGTAAATTAGCATAAAATTACCTGTAAACCTTTAAGATGTTTCCAGTAAATGCCTAGAACACTTCTGTGTCTGGAGATGTAGCTACTCATCGAGCCTTGGAAAGCTGGAAAATCAACAGTGTTGATGTAATCAGCATGTGTTTGAATTCGTGCATTTGTCATTGTGATCTGAAGGTCGAGATACTGGTCCTGGAAATAGGCAAATAATAATAATTTATTGTTAATATTATTATTATTAACAATAGTAACAAAATGAAAATTACAAAAGCACTACTTCTACCACTAATATTGAATGTTGAATTAGGAATCGATAATACAGCACCCGGGACACCCCCCATAAGTGCTCCGTCCCCATCTTCAGCAGCAAGCTAAGTGTTAAAATTCCGATGGTATCAGTAACTGTCTGATTGTATATCCATCTCGCCTTTCCCCTGAGTGTTGAGCATCGGCCAGATCCCCTTGTAACTCCTCACAGAGCCAATCTCCTCAGACCGTAATGATCTATCTGTACCTCGGCACTGTTAAATCGTTCCCAAAGGGCCCTCACAACATCCAGCTTGTCATACATCAGTTAACCACCAAGTGTTGCAGAACTGGCCATTCTATCTGCCTTCTCATTTCCCAACACACTGGCATGACCTGGAGAAAATATCCAAAGGATGCTAACCATCAGGGACATTTGAAGTGATGCTTGCCACTCTGCACGGAACATGCCTGTCTCCACCTGTCGATGCTACTAGTAGTAGTAGCAGTAGTAGTAGCATCAGAGGCAGTATTAGTAATAATAATAAGTGTTGTTTCCCAGTTATGCATCTGAAAAACAGATTACACAATGAATTGCCTAGCATATATTTCTATTATCTCATCAGGGGGCATTACTACAAAATTAAATCAATATACAGCTTCAGCAAGAGTACATTTAAAAAATTAACCTTAGCTCCCAAAACAGCCCAGTCTACAATGGGTACCAGAAAATGTAATGGATAGTAGAGGCAGTGAGGATGATGATAACATTAATCTATAAAGTGCCAGCTGGTTGATAACAAAATATTGCTCTAGCACCTTATGAATAATGAGCCAGTGAGAAGGACTTCCCCCACCCCCCCCCCCCCTGTCAATATGGCAAATAGGCAGGTTTAATGTTTTTAGTTGTGGACATTTTTAGAATATGACAATAGTTAGCTGCTGCATTTTCCCCCATATGTAGACTGCATGGATGCAGTTCTGTTACCCAGCTTTTGAGCTGTGTGCATAGTGCGGGACTGTGAGCTGCACATTCAATCTGGATGCTCTATTGACGGTTCCCAACATGGTGTGTGTGTGTGCGTGGGTGGGTTTTGTGTGTGTGTGTGTGTGTGTGTGCCCGCGCGTGTGCATGCCTGTGTGTGTGAACTGCAGGTTCAGAAAATGGAGATTGGCCTGTTGTCGGAGAGCTTGTGGTACACTATGCGATTAACTGCATGTGCAACTACTGATCTATTGACTCTGCTGCTTCCATCCATGATAAACTGCATTTCTAGTGTCAGACTGTTTGTGCTGGCACTTCTGATGTGTGCATTGTGCATTTAATGCATGTGTATACTGTCTGATTTGTTAAGACTGCAGTCAGCGTCAATTTTTTTTTCTAAGGACGGTCATGGACGTTCTGTGTGGTTGTTATTGGCATAAGAGCAGAGCAATTGTGAGGTGATACATTTAATATCTTCTTCTTTTTAGTCATATTTACCGGCTGTAAACAAGTTCTTGTTGTTCGCCGACTTCTAGACTCTAGTTGTGTTCTAGAAACTGAAAACAGAAAGCCTCACAATGTCACCACATTCAGTATTAGAATGCAGGTGGTGACAGTAATGGCAGCTATCTGATGGCTTGAGAGCAGCACAACCTGACATGTTACAATTTAAATGGATTTACAGAGAATTCCGTTGACAAGACATCAATGTGGCTGCTTCTGGATACGTCAGTTAAGTGATTTTGTATATTCTTGTGGTTTTGTTTGATTTATGAATGTGCTAATGAAGGCTCTGAAGCCAGAATGTTTATGTTTTGTTTGTGTTTGTTATATTGTTAAGCTCGCTGATCTACTTTTCATTTGGTTTTATTTCTTTAAATAAACTGAGTGTTGAAGGCACAACCATTTCACAGGTCTGACTCATTTACATTCAGACTGTTAGTTCCACTCCCTCAGGGAGATGTACTCTGACTTCGAAGACAGCTCCCAATTAGTCAACTTTTATGACATGCTTCTGAGCACGCAGTGGGTCTATTCTTGTTTTCCCCACAATGGGGGCCTGGAACCCACATTGGTAATACACAGTTGGAACTGGAACAACAATAACTTGATTACCTAAATGTTTTTTCTGTAAACCCTGAGGCACAAAGCAATTCCTTTTAACTGAACCACACAGCCCACATAATCCAATGTTTCAGTGTATGTCTTAACCATAGTAGTTTTTAAATGACTAAGCAAGTGAAACAATGTTTTGAAAAGAAAAAAGCACCACGAATAATGCTTGTTAAGACTGTGCAATTACAGAAATGTCTAACAAATGAATGAACAGCTGAATGAATTATTGGATCAAAAATTGACATCCCAGCACTCAGGACACTGCCACTGTGCTCCAACTCCTTCTTCAGTAACCAACAAAGTTGGTTGCAACCTGACTAAAAGTCCACATATGTTTTCCCTAAAGTGTTGAATATTTACTGATCTGAGTCTTATCAAGTAATTCAAGCCACTGTGTGCGAGATGCCAGTTTCAATTTTTTGAAGCATGCTCTGTGAGTCCATTTAAATTATAACGTGTCAGGTTGTGTTTCTCTCAAGTCATTGGAAAGCTGCCTTTATTGTCACCACATTCAGTATGTGAGGCTCTCTGTTTTCAAGCAGTGCTACTGCTCACCTTTGCAATAAAACCCCACCCAGTATTTTACCTCTCACCATAGTCTCACAATGTAAAGTAAAACACTGACTGAATAAAGTCAACCCAGAATGAACCAAGCATAAAGAAAACTGATATTCACAATTTTTCTGATTAATTTTCTTACATAAGACAGTAGAGTCTTATAATAAATACTCTTGAGCAGAGGAACTGCAAATGAGAAGAAAAGAAAGAAACAAAGAAGGAAAGAAGGAAGAAATAAAGCAAGAAAGAAAGAAATGAAGAAACAAACAAAGAAAAACAATATGCACAGAAAAAAAGACATAAATGTTTCAATAAAGACTTTACATAAGTACAAAGTACTCCACATATTTAAAAACTTACAGTGCTCTGGTAAAGACCAGCTTTTTCCAGTTCTTGAACAGTGAGGTATTTATTGCTGAAATCTAGCAGACAGATGAGAAACACACAAGCTGCCACAGTTCCCACGATCTTGGGGAAAAATGTTGTTGAAATAGTCTGGAAATTTTAAAAATGATAATTATTTGTATTATGTGTACTTCAAGAAATGTAGTCCATAACGTTATCATTTCCAACGTTGCCATGTCATGCGATAGTCTCTAGCTAGTTAACCCTAAATATCACACAATGTGTTGTGTTACTTTAAACGTTTTATTTGTAAAAAAAAAAAAAAAGTTTCCTCACTGGCCACTTTCATATATTTTATACTTCTTTTTCTTCTTAGCGTTCACCAGCTGTAAATTCTGGCGGAAGGTTCTGGTTGTTCGTCCATTCCTGGACTTTGGTTTTGATCCTAAACTTGAGTTTTGTATGCACACCCATTTTACAGATCTGACTTATTTTTAGGCAGACTTGTGGTTCTTTACCTCTCGGCAGATGCGCTCCGGCTTTGCAGAAACACTCCTAATTAGTTGCCCCCTATGACATGCTTTTTAGTGGGGGGGGGGGGGGGTGTCTTAGCTCTTTGGATTCAGTTTCGTATGCTTAGATCAGACCATCAGATGGGTTGCCTCTATGAATTTGTCAACAGCAGGTCCTTTATAGTTCCCCACAGCCTGCTCCATACACTCTGCTCTTGAGGCCATGTGTCTTTTCAAATTTGTTGTAAATGCTGTTAGAAAACAATTAAATACCTGACTGAAAAACATCTTGATATTTTGACACATCGGTGAATCCCTACATCCATTTACAGGAGCCAGTTTAGTTTTGGATTCTTTGGATTGAAAGACATTGTCATCTTCACCTTCTTGGCCTGTGAACATTAACACTGTCATTTGCATAGATATAAAAATCAACATCAGTAATGTCTAAACAGATATACTATAATATGTATTTATCGGTGTAAATATAAACACTACAATATGTATTTACATATATGGAAATAATCACTAGAATGCATGATTGTGTAAACTTTTGTTTTTCTCCTACAATCTGTTACAATTAATACATAATCCAGTGATTCCCAAACTGCGCTGCAGCACACCTGGGAGCTGCGGCCTCTCCAAAGGGGCACAGCAAAATATTAGAAGATACACAAGTTTTTTTTTATCCAACTCTTACATACGAATAGTCATACTTTTACTTAGGTTAGGACGCCGTGGAAACATTTTAATTTAAAAAAGGCGCTGCAACTAAGACAAGTTTGGGAAACACTGACGTAATCTATGTTGTAACTGTTGTTTACACTTGAATGACAAACTGCATTTCTAGTTTGAGTTGGCACTTCTGACCACTGCCTTATGCATGTGTATAATATTGGCTTTGCTGAGACTGCAGTCTGTGACATTTTGTTCATAAGGGTCAGTAATGGGCATTGCATATGGTTTTCAATGGCACAGGAATAAAGCAAATCTGGGGTGACCTGTTTGCTGGGAAGGTGGGACTGTGTTTACCTGATTACATAATTTATGCAGCATTAACTAATAACATGTACTGACAAGCATAAATATTTATAGTTGAGTTGAGTTGAGTCAAGAAGTGACATCACAGCACGGCACTCGGGGCATTCCCATGTGTGTTCCGTCCTCATCTTCAGCGGCCAGTGCAGAGTTCTAATACTGATGGTATGGGTCACAATCTGGTGATATGTCTGTCTTGCCTTTCCTCTGAGTGTAGTGAGCTGGCCAGACCCTCTGGTCACACCCATGTGTCTCATTCTCTCCAGGCCATAATAATCTTTTCTCTACTAATTCTGTTGCTTGTTCCTAAAGGGCCTTGACCACATCTGCCTTGTCAAGTATCAATTCACCACCCAGTGCTGCAG